AGCTCAGACTTCAGAGGTCCAGCTGGATTCTGGGAAAAGTGTACGAGTCAGTGGTCTAAGTTATCCCTCTGTCTGTCTCGAAGAGGAGGTGATAGATGACACGGGTGCCTATAAGAAAGGTGAAGGCTCCCATCTCACGCCATATTGAGCCGCTCAGCGTAATGTAGCCTGGAGCCTGGAATTCAGACGTCTTGCTCACCTCTTCCAGAGAGACTCATGGGTGCCTTTCATGTGGCAGAGAGCAGGCCTCTGTGTGGGTGCGTTGTCTGCCAGCTCACCCTCTACAGCAGTAATTACAGGCCCTGACTTCTCAGAGCTGCACTCTGAATCATTCGCAGGAGGACTACTGTCTGTGCTATTTCAATGAGCCGGATATGGATCTAATTATTGGCTGTATTCATAATGTTTCTGCCTTTGCAAAAGGAGACACATGCGTTTCCCCAGACAATGGGCATGCACACAAAGACATACAAAATGAGATCTGGGCTCTATATGCAGAATGTCAATTGCATGCTGAGAAAACAAAGTTTGTTTTTTTTTCAAAACAAGCACTTGACTTATCTCAAGATGTTTTTTTTTTCTGTCTGTTGAGGTTGCTGCTTGAGAAAGAGAAAAGGCAAGCACACTTTTCATGAAGAATCTGGGTGACAAAGACGTTGCTGACCTGCATCAGACAGACAGTTTGGGTTCGATTTATCAGAAGCAGAAGCAGCCGGAGCGATAAACCGAGGTGTGCAGCTGCAGAGGAAACACACCCTGGACAGCCTCCCTCATCAGGAGGAGGGGTGTACAGATCAGATGAAGAAAGGCCAAAGAGCTTGGATCTGAAGAAGAACTATTGCACACTCCCAACAGACTTCACCACACACAGCACCTTTTCAAAGCCTTTGGCTGTCACTGTATCAGTTAGGAATTGTCCTCCAGGTGCCACGTACAATATGGATCTGCACGTGAACCCATGTTTATAGTATCAGAACATAAGAAATGTGTGGAAACAGGATGGGCTATCTTGCTCTTTTGTCAAGTGAATCTAGAATTTGGTCTAGCTCTCCCATTCAGATCTAGAAGTTCCATAAGTTCATAACGATAAGTTGTGACCCTGGGTCCTTGTATTATTGAGCCTGAATCAGTCCTCAAGACTGAACCGGACTCTGCCCCTTAGGATTCTGTACGCTGGCACCAACCGCCCTCACAGTCTCCTGTCGCTCAACACCCTCAACCTGTCAGTACACTGCAACTGTCCCCTGAGACCAGGAATTATTCCTGTTACTCTCCCTTGAACACTACTAAAGGCTATAATATCCTTTATGTGGTACGGTGACCAGAACTGAACACAGTACTCTAGATGAGGCCTTCAAAAAGTGCATTGCAGTGCTTAAGCATAACTATCCTGAATATACTGTGATTTCCACACTTTTTGCTATGTACCCAGCCTTTCTGTTAGCTTTTTCATTTCTTCCCCATTTTGTCTTGTCTGCCTGAACAACCCGCCCTCTTTCCCGTGTAAGGTCCTGGGGAATCTCACGAGCTCCCATGTGATATGTAACACTGACATATATGTGTTTTTGCTACCAGTGTTCCTCCTACTTTGGACCTACAGTATCCATGATTTTGTCTCGGTCTTTTCATTATTCCCTTGCCGCTGTCGGTCAGATACGGTCGCAGGTGAAAGCCTTATGTGTACTTTGTCTCTGAAGTGGTTTCTCTTGTGCGCCCCCTGGTGGGTCGCTGGGCACAAAATGAATATGTTCACCTGAATGTGTCCGTGAGTCACAAGGTGTAACCTTAGCGGTGCTGACCCTGTAAAAGTAATAGCAGCTGTCAGTAGGGGAAATATTGTTTGACATCGGGTATGTCTTTTCTTTTCGTCAGGAAATATGATACAGGACACATTGACAATAGCATCCCTCCTGGCATGTTAAGAGCCTGTCAATCTGTTAGAGTGATACCAACATGTGTGACATAAATTTGGTCACAATATTACATAAAGAACATATTGCTCGCCTGTAATCAGGCGAGAGAAGAGATTCCTGGGCTAAAAGGAAAGTTCATTGCTGAAAGCTTTAAAGAGCTGACTCTTTAGAGCAGAGCTGATCCAAGCATTCGTACGCCACAGCTGTGTTTGCCCAGGGATATTAGGACATTGTGACATACCCCACACTTGAATCTCCCCCGACACACACACTGGGGGTTGGGCAGCATGTCGATGTGCCCATCACTCAGCAGAAAGACGTTTATCTCTTGGGTGCGTGCAATTTCCCTGACCGTCCTGTCTCGGCCCCTGTGCCCTGCCCTCTGCAGCTCACCAAGAGACCAACAAAGACAACAGAGGACAATTCGGACACGCACATAACTGCCTTTCTCATTTTCTAGTGCATCGCTAACCCAGCCTGCCCAGAGCAGCTTGCTTGACGTCCTCACCCTGATCCCCAGCCGCTCCTTTCTGTCAGGCCTGTCCTAATGCTAAACATCGCCAATGCAACTGGACCACAGGTGCAGCTCAGAGACGAACCTCCCGGCTTTTCAACTGCCGCCGGTACCCTTTCGTCACACCGCGGTGCAGGTGACTCTGCCTGAGGGAACGTCAGGGCAGTCTGAGGCAGTAGCTGGGCGGACAGCTGGAAGGAGGTGTCCAGGGTGGGCGTGGCCGGGCTCAGGTACAGCGCCGTCTATCAACAGAGGAGTGACCTTAGCTGTCTCATTGAGACGTTCTCCAGGCGAGCCTGGGCAGCTCTGTCAGCGTGGCAGACTGCAGGGATCCCTGCAGCCAGGCCATGTGTCCCCGTGATTAAGACTTTCTATTAATGGGCAGCATCGCCAGAGAGAGGCTCAGCAGGCGAGCTGCTCACCCCTGCCCTTGAGAGCCCCCCTTCCTCCTTGTCTACCATCACCAGAACCTGCGGTTTTGCAGCAGAGGCACTAAAAGAAATCACACAGGTATAGCGACTGAATCGCTCAGGCTTTTGTTAATTGTGAAAGGCAGGGGTCCGTGATAGAAACATTTGTGTCAGGGAAGCTCAGCACAAAATGCCTTTCTGTGCATGATCTGGCCAGTCGATGAACGTGTTTGCAATGTTTTTGGCAGCTGCTAGTGGAATGGGCTACAATGTGAGGTGTAAGATACTTCTGTGTAGTAAGCTGTAAGACACTTGTGCTGCATGCATGCTTTCAATTGCAGAGGAAAGCTTTTTGGCTGAGGGAGTGAGGGGTGATATTCGTGCAGGTGTCTATGAACACTAAGAACAGGGCAGACCAGTGAGCAGCGAGCAGTCAGCGCTGGGACAGCCCTGCAGGAGATCAGCAAAGACACTTGTTTCAGTCCAAGGCTTTAAAAATATACCCTGTCTCTCTGCTCCGCACATCAGTTTGACAGGCTGCTTTTCCTCGGCGCTTCCTCTTTTCCACTTCATTTCCTCATTCAGTGCAGTAACAGTCCAGGCGTTTTCGAAAATGACTATGTCATTTCCTGCAGCATCTATTTTGATCAGGCAGGGAGAGGGCAGAGTGTGGGCTATCGGCCAGGGGCACCCCTGCCGCAGAGACACAAAGGGAGGGGGCAAGAGAGGGAGAGACGAAGCGAAGGAAGAGTGGAGAGAATGGAAAGAGAGAGAGGCAGAGAGGGAGTAAATCTGAGAACCGCAGAAGGGGAGAGAGCAGGGGAGGAGTGTGGCAGAGTGGGGGAACAGAGACCCCTGACCCCTGTGGAAACTGGCAGGAGTGTTTGGGAGTGAGACACAGACTTAGGCTGGTGTCAATTCTTGCCCTGCACTTGGTCTGATCATCGGGTCAAAGTAACCGGGCAGGGTCAGTGGGTCCGTATGACCCTTGTTCCACAGGTCGCCCACTGGAGGAAGATGGGTCAGCTCCCAGCATGGAGAGACAGCAAGCACAGCACGCCGGCGCCTCAGCCACAGCCAGCCAGGGGGGGCTGCTGTCCTGCGATCAGGCGGCGCTGGAGGCACACCCCGGGGGCCTCACCTGTGACCTCTGACATTTCACAGCATTCTATTCTGAGAACAAACGGCCACGAGCGCTGGAACGGTTGGAACCTGCCGCCGCCCTCAGCTGCGCGCCCACGCCGACCAGCCGTAAAAATAGCTCGCCCTGCAGAGGGCTTTGAAGGCGCACCGAGGCAGTGTAAACAGGGGAGAATGAGTCTTTCCTGCACGGTGATTTAATCATGACAAAAGAGCCCTATGTGAGCGCCAGCCAAGAGCTTCCATTCTGCTCGCGTGCCCCCAGTTTGCGATGTAATTGTGGTTTGTGAGTGACAGCGCGCTAGCTGGATTTCAAAGATAAGGAGACCAGCAACCCCACGCACCACGCACCTCGGATATACAGTACGCCCGAGGTCTTCTTCTGAAATACTGGCGTTTTCTCTGAGAGGAGATTCGCCATGGCAGTCGGCATTTCAGTCGGAAACGATATACTGTATATATAGTCTCTTTGTGTTTTTTGGTCGAAGAAAAAAGTGGGAAATTGCTTGTTTGTTTGTTTGTTTTTTCATTTTTATGGGTAATGAACCAGTTGAACCAAAAGATAGAATGTCGACACATCTTTGCGTTTGTTTCTCATTTTAACACAAATCGTCAGGCAGCCTAACCTTCGCGTAACTACTTTGCACGATCGTTGTGTTTCAAATATGATTTCACGCTCAACTTTCCTTGCAGTGGCTTAACTGTTCATTTGAATCCAACGAGTCTGAAATCCAACCCCGAGTGAAATTCTGTCCTCTTCGGCTGTTTCAAGGGCAGGTTTGCCGCTTAGGGCATTGTTTAATCTCCGTTTTTTTTAAGGGCGTAGTAACGTTGTATTTGTCGGCTTGAGTGGCGTGGCTGCGCACGCTTTTATACGCAATAACGGAGTCGCTTCAGCTGTTTCCAAATTGCGGGAAATCCCCGTTCTCTAACTGCCCCGCCTCACCCCATTTCGTCCTTAAGGAAGGAAGGAAGTATGAAGGTGATAATCACAGGACACGATAGCACACAACAGCTAAGGTGCGAACAATATTGCACAACTGGGAGAACGTGGACACCTCGTGGCCTCTCTCCGCCTCGGAACGCGCCGTACTGCTGCGTGACGTCAGTCCGGACTGAGCTGCGCCGGGACTCCAGCCTGCGAGCCGCCGCACAGGGCTAGTCCGGGCCTGGAGCGGGACAGCCCGTGCAACTGCCCAATAACTGGGCCAAGCAGGTGTGTGAGGTGAGGAGGGTGGGGCGGGGGGCTGGCGCTGAACAGTGGCACATCCTGATGGGGGGGGTCATTTTTGTCTTCGTTTCTTCTTTATCCAGCTGCTTCTCAAGAGATCGGAGGAGCAACGCGTGACTGGAGCCGTTTTCCACAGTGACGGCGGCGGCGGCGACACCGCTCTGGGAGCGCGGAGTGAGAGAGCTGCTGCAGAAGCGCACAGGATGCAGAGAGAGCTCGTAGGGGGGCGGGGGTGAGAAAAAGACAAGAGCGCAGGCGGTTAGGGAGGGGAGGGCCGGCCGTAAGAACAGTGCTGTGTGACATAGCAGCGCTGATGAGAGAGGGAGAGAGAGAGGCGCGGGGAGGGGGGAGAGAGAGAGTGTGTGAGCGAGGTCTGTGCACGGGCATCTAGCCTTGCAGAGAGAGCGACGACGGAGAGGGGGGAAGAGAACGAGGAATCCGGAGAGGAATATTCAGGAGGGAGGAGGCGTAAAGGGAACCTAGAAACGCCTCTATTAAGTGGTGCCTGAGGGGAGATATTACCGCCGCCAACAGGACCGGGTCTGCCGATTCTGTGTCAGCCGCCGGCACTCCTGCTTACTACTTGTTTTCATCCTCCTCCTCCTCCTCCTCAATGAAGTCCGCTCCGTAAGCAGGACGTCTCCCCGTTACCTGGCCGCCCTGTGCCCGGCGGTGCGCCCAGGCGGCGCGAGCTCCCTGACGGGGGGCTGTGGCTGCGGCGCGCGGCAGACCGGCGGGCGGCAGCGGCTCCTCATCCCCGGCGCGGGCGGAGGTAAGGCGCGCGTGGACCGCTCTCCCCACGGCGGCGCGAGCCGCCGAGCCGTTGATCAGCCCGGCTGTTCCCTCAGCATCTCCACCCCCCCTGTCCAGCACAGACACACACACAGGCACGGCGAGCCGGGTTCCCCGATTCCCGGAGGGCTGTCGTGCGCTGTGCGCGGCTCCTTCTCTCAGGTCCTGCCTCTGTTTCTCTCGCTCTTATCGCCGGTGTGTCAGAAAACACTCGCAGTTCGACGCGCGGGGAAGAAGATGGGGTCACGCTTTCGTTCAGGTGTCACACAACATTGTTAGGACTGTCTGTGAATCGTCTGCTCAGATGTTTTTGAGGATGTTGCACACAGGGGTTATCATTTAATAACACGCTCCTAACTCTTAAGGTGAAGGGTATCGTTCAGGATGAGGGGTTTGTTGCTGACAGTCCGTGGAAGAGGTCGGTTGTTATCACGACTATGTCACCCTGTCAATATTGTATTGATACATTCCTTTGCAAAACGGTTATATAGAGAACGTTTGGAAAACCTTTTAATCCGGCACGTTACCGAAAATGGCATTTTCTCTGCTTGCGCGCGCACACACCCATCAAGAGCCCCAAACTCTGCTGTCTCCCCTCAAAGGCGCGCGCGGCTCAGCTGAATTAACTTTAATGTTTGGTCCCCTCCTTGCAAACAAAGCTAATTGAGTGTACGCTGTATGGGTGTACGGTTATGATGGCAATAAACGGGACGGTGGAGTGGCATTCATTTAGAGTCAATGGGCGATGATCCGGCTTGTTCTAAAATAAACACAGATGCTCATCTGTCTTTGCGGGCTGCTCGGATTTATGTTGCACACAAAATAACAAATTAGAGACTTGTTTTTTGAGAAGCCCCTTTGGTCTGACTGGGACGGGCACATCTGGATCCTGTAGTTAAGCGCACTGGTCTGTCCCGCGGTCTGTTGACCCAGAAGTCAGCTGCAGTCCTACAAGGCGTCGTCCCTCAAACCCAAGCTACGGGAGAAGCTGGTGAGCACCCCGTCGCGCACGGAGCGCTTCGTGGGAAAGAAACGCGCCGCGATCCGGTAAATCTTTGTGTGAAATTCTGACTGTACGAAAACATGGTCGAATGTGATTCTCAAAAGCCGCTCGGCTTGTGCCTTCGCGCTCGGAACAGGACAGCTGCCGGAGATAGTGCAGGTCACGCTCCCGGAGATAACCGGAGTTAAAAGCGGTTTTTAGCACTACTCCTCTAGACAGCGCAAAAACAGACTTTAAAAAAAGAACCTGACCGGTTGAGGAACAGTCGGTCTCCCCTCCTCAAACAGAGGCAGCGCTGAGCCCTCTGGGCAAGCTGGCCAATCTGTAGCGCCTCTCTCACTCTGAACCGTATCGCTGCTTTCCCAGAGCTCATCGCAGTTCATTACGGTCCCCACAAAGCTGTGTGTGATTGATCCGAGCTAAGAGACACAACGATGATTGCAAAATCGTTTTCTCGCAGGGATTGTCTTGTGTGTTGAGCGCATTTGTTTTCTTTTTGCATTTCCTATTGTAGGGAAGGTGCCTTGTGTGAGGCAGATTGCCAACTGCGGTATCGCAGAGCAATGAAACTTCTTCATGAACAGCATGCCCAGTGTTTAGCTGAGTGGACGCAGCTCGGGTCTGCTGGTCAGGGTGCAGGCAGAGTGTTTAGCAGAAACAGCCCCCCGGCCAGTGGACAAGGAGAACGCCGCACGCTGGGCTCTGGCAGTAGTGTGGGCAGGGGGAAAAAGAGGAAGGGCATCGCAGCCGGGAGATCTGGTTCTGGAAACAGGACACTGTGGGGATGAAACAGGTGCTGTCTTGAGATCAGCACTGTGGACAGGAGGGAGGTCACACAGACACCCTGGAACTGGTGCTTTGGAGGTCTGACCACAGGGTGTGTATCTCCTCTTTACCCACGAGCCCGGCTGGGCGTTCAGACTGGCCATTCCCACTGCACAGATCTGCACATCCATGTGTCGGAATGATTTTCAGGCAACAGTTGCTCCTTGTGTATGTTAGGCAGAATCCCAGTTTCCCCAGTTTTTCTCTGTCTCTAGTTTTGGTGCGGCTCTCAACTTTTGTTGAGTTTACCGTAGGACGTTACAAGCAGCGATCTCAAGAGAGGCAGCTATCTCGAGAGTTTTTAGAGTCAGCGTCCTGGTCAAATGTGTCATGTTAAGGTAGCTTCTTTTTCCATTGATTGTGAGCGAGGTGTTTCCTGACCATAAAGCAACAGGAGAGTTCCTTTTTATGCGCATCCATTCAAATTATCTCAAAAGTTAGTCCAAAAAAAGACCCAAAGTGCTTATTCCAGCAGAAAAGCATATAGAGAAAATATTTTTTGTTTTGTGTGTGACACACCAGCCCTAAACTAGAGTGGGTCATTATTTATCTGATCCAAAATAATAAAATATAAAAGAAATGTGGAAGGTCAGAATGCTGGCGAAAACCTGCTTTGTATATTGAGAAATAATCAAATCCCTCATTACTGGTGAAATAATAGGATGATAACTGGATTTAAACAAATGCTGTTAAAATATAAATATTATGGACTATGTATACACACAACATAACACTATATATTTATTTTCCATTGGGGTGATAATAATCTGTAGAAAACATAATTAGAAATGCAATGTTTTCTACAATCAGTGTTTGGACTGAGTGAAATAACACTCTGGCATGCGAGAATCATATTATAATATAATATATAATTTTATTCTGTCCTTCTTAACCTCAGGGGTCAACCCTGGATGTCAGTTCTTGTGATGGACCTACAGTACATACGTCTGTGCCAGAAACCTTCATATAATTCACGAGAATGTATTGAATACTCCCTCATCATCTGAAAAATGCATTTAGAGAAATAAGCAAAACAGCTAAAGAGTCAATCACTTAAGAATTCACTTTGGTTTGAAAAATGGGCATTCCGTATTTTTTCACAAACGGGACGCGGTCCATCTATCTATCGGACTGGTTTCCAGTAGCTAATTGATCTGAGGTTCTCCTTCAGACCTTTTTAAAAAGAAGCCAGGGTATGGTTTTGTAGCTTGATCCACACTCCCACATCCCCTTGTGTAAAGAAGTGCCTCCCGTTCTCAGTTTTAATGCACTTAACTGGAGTTCCCTCTTGTGTCTCATTTGTCATTTTGAATGACGGAGCCCGGACTCGTCATTGTCTTCTTTGTTCAGGACTCTGAATTGCTGAAGATGTAATCTCACATCCCCTGATTTTCTCTCTTGAGAAACATGAATAGGAGAGTGATATGTAAATTCACCTCGATTCTTACTGAAGGTTTAAAAATAGCACCCAGCGCACTTCAGTCCCACACGACTGATCTGATTAAGATATTTTATCTTACTTGTAACACACTGTCACAGCTGATTTTGAAGTGCTGTGAGATGGTGCTCATCGTGAAAGGATGCTCTGTATAGAAACACACGCATTGATTCACTGAAAGATAATATCCCCCAATTCCAGACCCATACCTGCCTATTCGTCTGCTACAGTCTGGAACATAAGATTTCCCACATAACTGCATAGAGTGAAGAACACCTGAACCAGCCCAAAGACTCCCTGCACTGTACTGTACATGGGTCCCTTCCTGATCCCCACCCAGAGGATCACTTGAAAGAAGGCTAGCACCAGGTTGGGCCTGCATTTCAGTATCTCTTTACATCAAAGAGCCTTTACAAAAAAGACTGGCAAATTGTGTACACATTTTTCCTACCTGCAGCTGAACTGCAGCTAAACGTTTCCAAAGGTGTGGTGGTATTTTTGGAAGGCTTTTGATACAATTCTGCGTAAAAGAATAATTATTCAATTCAAGGCTGTAGGCATGCAAGGTAATTGTGTATTTGGCCAGAGAACTGCTCAATGGATAGAGAAACAGGTTAGAGGCGAGGTGTGAGTGCTCAAGGGAGTTCCACAGGGGTCTGTGTGGGGACCACTGCTCTTCTTGATTCATACCTATAGACTGCTGGCAAACTAGTCGAGCTCACAGATGGTACCTAAATATGAGGATTAGCAAGTATTCGAGGGGGAAGCAAAGGAAAAGATTTAGACAGAATTCAAGACTGGGCAAACACCTGGCAGATGGCTTTTAATGCGGACAAGTGCAGAGGCTATAACGGAAACAGAAACTATAAATGTAAGATGGGAAACGCCGAGCCTGAAAATGATGACACTTCGGTGTTTATGTGGACACATCGTTAACATCTTCTACACACAGTGGGAAAGAAATAGGGTCAGGATATACTGTATAGTTAAAAGTGTAAATGCTGTATTAAAACTGTACCATGTAGTAGTAATACATTGTTTAACATATTATATACAATAAATTTAACATAAGTGTTATTAACACTGTTGCAATTTCAGAGCTTAAAGGAACGTCCTTCATTGACAGGCTAAAGGAACTGAAGCTTTTTAGTCTTGAACAGACAAGACAATGAGGAACCTGATTCAACTATTCAGAATTGACCGAGTGAACCTAATGCACTTCTTCAGAATCTTAGGGTAAAATTCTGGACTAGAGGCCGCACCCTGAAATGAAGGGGGCTTTTAAAAGTACAAGAGGCACCTCTTTCCCAGACCAGTACCTGTCCGTTCTTCTGCTACATTCCAGACAGAACTACTCAGACCCACGGAGACACATGGGGTCTGCAGCGCGTTGTCAAAGCTGATACACTGGCTTCTTCAATATAACCTCCTTTAGCAGAGTTTCATTTGTGTGGTCACCTCACTGCACTGCTGGACTTCACTGTGTTTTCCCCAGAGCATGTGTGTGCGTCATGGTCGCGTATTTTATAGAGTGAATTCCTAGCTGTCGTGGCTGGGTATACCAGTACTGTAACTCATTGCAGCTGCATACAGCCCATAGTTGTGCATGAAATAAAGTCTGGTCAATCAAATTAAACGAGCTCTGGCGCTGGCCATTGCACTCTTTTAATCTCCAAGCCCATTTAAAGCAATTTTCTTTCACGTCAGGAACTGA